TGAAGGAAAAAGTGGGTGTGCAGGGACATTAACACAAGGTTGGAGCTCAGTTGGTAAAAAAACAATATTTGAAGGGGCACGTAGCTTGGAAGAATTTGTTGATTAGAATAAATGTTTTAAATTTCATGTACTGGAAGTCTGTGGAGGTCAGCAGGGCACAAGTAATAGATGTATAAGCCACAGTATTTAGCAAATTGAAACTTGGACAATGAGGAGATCAGAAGATTAATGAGCCAGGCTTTAAGAAGATAAGTCTTAACAAAGGTTCTCAATGCCAGAGATGTCAGGAAATGCTGCTGTGGTAACAATGTGCACAGTGGTGTGTTTGCATCTTAGCTCCAGTGTGAGTAGAACACCAAATCTGGTTCAGTCAGAATGAGCAGCTAGACTTTTAGATGATAGAATTCCTACAGTGTGGAAACAGGCCCTTCGGCCCAACAAGTCCACACCAACCCTCAGAGCATCCCACCCAGACCCATCCTCCTATGACCTACCTAATTTACACAACACTTAACACTACAGGCAATTTAGCACAGCCAATCCACCTAACCTGTACATCTTTGGACTGTGGGAGGAAACCCACGCAGGCACAGGGAGAATGTGCAAACTCCACACAAATAGTCGCCCAAGGATGGAATCGAACCCGGGTCTCTCGCACTGTGAGGCAGCACTGCTAACCGCTGAGCCTCCGTGCAGCCCAGCAAATTAAAATGTGACTAATTGGATATATGCCCAATTATAGGCATCCTATAAATTGTCATCTTAAAAGAAGTACAAATTTTTGTTGAATGCTGAGAGAGCAAATGGTAGTCTAAGCTTTCTCATATCAGTAGCAGCTAATCATTCAAGCATAGTTCCCTTTAACAAATCAAGAATATAGAGATGGCAGTGTCGATATTTTGTTAGCTGTCCATCATGCTGCTAGCTTTTATAAAAAGGCTGTAAGTGTAGATTTGTTAAACTTATAGCTCTGAATGCTCATACTTAGATTTCCATTCAACTGTTATTCTAGCAGGTACTCACTAAATGAAGAATCGAGTCATGATGTAAATGAAATTATTACATGGATCAGGGGAAATATGCAAAAATAATTTAGGAAAACAGTAGTGAAAAATTGCAATGAGCAAATTAAAGGAGTCAGCTTTAGAGAAGACCTTCCAAAAATAAGGCATCATTGGAAGATATAAGGAGTCTGCAGTGAGAGGTATGAAAGAGGGAAACGATATTTGTGGCTTATTGTAGAATACTTCCAGAAACATGGCCAAGTGAAGTAAAATAAACTGGCTTCCCCAGGGTTTTTCCAATTATTGTATTGTGTATCAGTCTCTGCTGAAGCAGTATCATTCAACCCAAAACACTGTTTTATTAATTCAAACAATAAGAACAAATTTTTACCCACAATCTTTCATACACCACAAGAAGTAGTCTGGTTTTGTACATACACTTTATTTCTTAAAAAATAATGAAAACATTTTCTTGTAAATGCAGAGTCAGAAGTCACAGGACACCAGGTTATAGTCCAACAGGTTTATTTGAAATCACAAGCTTTCACAGCGCTGAAGGAAACTTCACCTGATGAAGGAGCAGTGCTCCGAGAAGGTTGTGATTTCAAACAAACCTGTTGGACTATAACCTGGTGTCCTGTGACTTCTGACTTTGTCCACCCCAGTCCAGTACCGGCACCTCCACATCTTGTAAGTGCAGTGACAGAGATATTTACAAAATTAGGATTTGCTAAAACTAAATTTCTTTGAAGAGTTAGGTGATTAAAGAAACAAAACAATTAACTCCTCTGCTGATGACCAAAATTTTTCCCATCTGACAATGCACAAGTCGGTTGGGGGGGTTGGGGTGTGGTGGTTGTAAGAGAAGTTCTCCGCTTGGCTGATTCAGATCCAACAACACTCAATGCCATCCAAGACAAATATTTGCTTGATGTGACATCTACCAGAAGTATTCACGCTATCCACCATTAAAACATCACTGTTAGCACCTACAAGATTCATTGCAACAACTCACCAAATGTCCCTAGATATCGCTTTTCAAATCTATGACCTCTACACTTAGAAGAAGAACAGTAGAGTAATGGAACTTCCCCACTGCAAGTCTCCCTCTTGGTGACACCCACTTGATTTGGAATTATTTTGTTGATGCTTCAATATCGCTGGAACTCCAGCCTGAACAGCACAAACATTCACTCTGCATGGAGTGCAAGAAAGTAGCTCACTCGCACCTTCTAAAGGGCCATTAGAGATAGGCAGTTAATACTAGCCTTGCCAGCAACTCTTACGTTCTAAAAATGAATTTTAAAAAAGTATTAAGACGTTGTCCAAAGTTCTCATTCCTGCTGTTGTTCATCTCTCAAACCAGTAGATGATGCTCCTGAGCAGTAAATAATGAACAGGAAAATTGATGGCAAAGTTAAAACAGTTGATGCTAGAAAAAAATTAGGCAGCACTTTCAGTGAAAGAAAAAGCTAACATTTCAAATCAATTGCCTATCACTGGAAAGATTTACAGATGTAACATGTCTGTAACATGTTACAGATGTTTCAAGGTGAGAGAGGAAAAGTTTAAGGGAGATATGTGTGGAAAATTCTTTACGCAGAGGGTGGTGGGTGCCTGGAACGTGTTGCCAGCGGAGGTGGTAGAGGCGGGCACAATAGCGTCATTTAAGATGTATCTAGACAGATACATGAATGGGCAGGGAGCAGAGGGATACAGACCCTTGGAAAATAGACAACAGGTTTAGATAGAGGATCTGGATCGGCGCAGGCTTGGAGGGCCGAAGGGCCTGTTCCTGTGCTGTAATTTTCTTTGTTCTTTGTTCTTTGTTTAACATGTTTAAGCAAGTACAATACAGGAGGAAAAGAAGGGAAGATTGGAGGAAACCACAAAGGGAAGATCTATGCTAGATGAAAGGGAGGAATCATAGAGTCATAGAGTCATACAGCATGGAAAAAGACCCCTCAGTCCAGCCAGTCCATGCAGACCATAATCCCAAACTAAACTAGTACAACCTGCCTGCGCTTGGCCCATATCCCTCCAAACATTTTTTATTCAGGCGAGATATTGCATTTTGGTACAACAAGGAAGGGTAGGTGTCATGCAATTAATGGTAGGGCCTTGGGTAGCATCGTAGAACAGAGGAACCTAGGGGTACGGGCACATAATTCTTTGAAGTTTGCATCACATATAGACAGGGTGGTTAAGAAGGCATTTAGCATGCTTGCCTTCATTGCTTTGAGTATAGAAGTTGGGAAGTCATGTTGAGGTTGTACAGGTCTTGCTGAGGTCTCTTCTGGAATACTGTGTCCAGTTCTGGTCGCCCAGTTATAGGAAGGATATTATTAAGCTGGAGAGGTTTCAGAAGAGATTTAACAGGATATTGCCAGATACGAAAAGTTTGAGTTATAAAGAAAGGCTGGATAGACTGGGACATTGTTCACTGGAGCATAGGAGGTTGTAACTGTACCTGAATCCATTACTTTCTCTGGAAGTTCATTCCTGACAGGAACAACCCCCATTTTAAAAAAAAATACCCCTCAAGTCTTTTTTAAATCTTTCCCCTGCAACCTTAAAAATACGCCCCATTGTCTTGAAATCCCCAATCTTAGGGAAAAGACATTTGCCATTCACTTTATCTATAGCCCTCATGATTTTATAAATGTCTATAAGGTCACCCCTCAACCTCCTACACTCCAGTGAAAAGCGTCCCAGGCAATCCAGCCTTCCCCTATAACTTGAATCCTCCGTTCCTGACAAAATCCTGGTAAATCTCTTCTGAACCCTCTCCAGCTTAATAATATCCTCCTTGTAACAGTGCGACCAGGACTGGACGCAATACTCCAGAAGAGGCCTCATCAACACCCTCTATATAACCTCAACATAATGTCCCAACTCCTACATTCAAAGAGCAATGTAGGCAAGCATGAAAATTGACGGAATAAAGAAAACATTCCTGGGAATGCATGCACTGATCATACTGGCTGTCCATTTGAAGCACACAGGATGAATTAGACCAGTATGTATCATTGACAAGTTTTGCTTGTTTTTATTTGCCTTCTGGGAGGTTAACTGATAAAAAGGGTAATGTGCAAGAAGGCAAAATGAGATATTAGTGTGACAAATAAAGGAACAAAACAGGAGTCTGGAGAAATGTAATTGCAAATAGCAGAATCATCATCAACAATTTACCATCCAAAATGTCATTAACCTGGAATGTTAACACTTTCTTTCTCTCTCCACTGATCTGTGGGAATCCCAATCGATTGCATGCTTTTCTAACACTTCTTGGTTTTTTCAGGTTTTATTTCAGATTTCCAACATCCACCTGCTTTTGTGTGAATAAATATAGGCACATAAAATCTTCCAATTTTTTCACACTCTTGTTTGTGGAGATTGTTATAGTCAATGCCCGAACCAAGATTCTCTGATGAATCTTGATCTGGAGACATGCATCTGAAATTTCAGTTGAGATTTGAATTTAAGCCCAAAACAATTAGGACTGGGTTGGGATTCGCTACCTTCTGGCTTTAAATGGACAGTCCAATGTTTGGCAGATGAGTGAATGTGTTGATGTAGTCTTCATGCTAACTAACTAGCTGTCTGGAAATCTCAAAATGAACCTAATTTTGCAAAAAATAAAATTTGTTTCTTCTTTAATTTCTATATGCTCGCATTAATGATTAAAAGCTGAGTCATTCAACAGTATGTATCCAAACAGTAACAATGATATTTTGATCTGGCAACTCAACTACTTTGGTTAAATCTCCTTTCTGTTTGCTTTCAGGTTCCAAGCCTCTGATTGCTTACTGGGCGTAACCAGTAAATGCGCTTTTTTTTAATCAGAGAAGTTGTGGCTCACAGTGATTAATAATAGAGCAGTGTATTTTTCCAATTGGTTCTGACTTATCAAGGAGAAACATCATCATAAAATTTGCTCTGATAATTCACTATAAAACTCACTTGACTTCCTGTTTTCATTGCACTTGGAGCATAATTTCCCACTCTATAGTAATTCAGAATTTACGCAACAATTTAAACATTTACAAGAACGTAACCTGACAGCAAGCAACTTACTGGCCCTGATCAGAAGGACAGAATGAAGTGGATAGTCCTCACACTTTGCTGTTTCCATTTGACAGAATGCCTTAAAAGGTAACAAAACAGAATCAGTTTTCCTAAGAGATGATGCTCTTGATTTAAATCTGTACCGAGGAAGACCAGAATATCCAAAGGTCAATAAGATTGTTCACAACTTTATAATTTTAGCTTTGCTTTGAGCCTTCTAACTAACTTGACCTTGGGTGGTGTGTTTGCTTTCATCTCAAATGACTGTCCCCTCTGGATTGTCAAGAAACAGGGGCCATATTCTCAGAAGAAGGGGGTCAAACATTTAAGGGTCAGGTGAGATGACATCTCTTCCTTCACGACATTGTGTTATTTTAGATTCTCTACCCCAGAGGACTCTGGAATATCAATCATTAAGCGTAATCAAAACAGGGATGTCAGAGGAGTTCTGAAGTGCTCCTGCTTTTTTTTTTAAATGTTCCTTCATTAATCTCAATAAACTACTCTTCCTTTAGGATTCGAAAAAACAACCATCTAACTGTGTAACAATCAGTTTGCTGTTTGCCATAGTTTCCTAATCTGGGACCTCATAACTCAATACCACCCCAAACTTAACAAGTAAAAATATTTTGAGAAGTTAGGAAGTATGTCATTGTGGATAATGGAAGAATTGCTCACCAGTAAAATGAAGGTTCTTTTCTGCAGTAGGGATGGAGGTGTATTGCCTGGTATTGTTAGGTGTTGCTACAAGTCAGAGAGTCAGGCAGTGAAGGAAAGAACTGGGGTCTAATCTAATGGCATTTTCCATTTATTTGCCACTCCCATGGGTCAGCTGAGTTTGTGGGAGAGGGTGGGCAATAATTTCGAAAGATGGTCCTCCGTGCTAGAAGGCAAAATACCTGAATAGACTAATTAATTTTTTACTGCCCTTCCCTTCTTTACAAGTGTCAATTTAAAAGCTGCTTCACAATAAAAGAATTGAGACAGATGCTTTGCAGAAATATGGAAATTATATCATTTGGAAGCTAATCTTTAGCAGGGAGATCATGTTCGATCATTGTTTGTGGCTTCATCAATTTTTCTTATTATAATTTGACAGAATCCCACTGAAGAAGCACAAGTCGATCAAGCAAACAATGAGAGAGAAAGGGATGCTCTCGTATTTCTGGGAACACCATAAGATGGATATGGTACAAATGGGTCAACCTCAGGAGTGTTCTGCCATACAAAAAACAGCCGAGCCCCTTCTCAATTACATGGATGTAAGTCTGTTCTGGCAAATAGCTTAAACTTACCTGTGAAGCTGAGTTATAGATATTGGAATTAGAAACTAAATAAATGAAACTTACATAGCTACTGACAGAATACCTTTAATGTAGCAAGATGACTAAATTGGGTAGGACAATAATCGTCAGAGGAAAATCAAGTAATAAATTTTAGCTGTTATTGTTTCACAAACTGAGTGAGACATTGAGCACTTACCTTTCAACTTCCTAATGAGACCTAACGCAAGTTGGACTGAAAAGACTGTGATCTTTACATATAAGGATGATCACACATAAAGCACTCAGACATGTCGGAACATCTCCATTAGTAATATGAACATTAAAAAAGCAACAAACCAAAAGAGCTTTTGCATTAATGCTTGTTAAGTAGCCTGTTCTAAATTCTTTGAAAGGTCACCAAGATAATTATGAAGAAGTTTGAAGTGCAATTGCCAATACATTGGTTGGGACATTGGCTAAGTGTTACACAGATATTCAGCACCGAGCTGTTGAAAATTATTCACAGTCACTAGACAAGGGCAGAATTTAATACTTAATGCATGGCAACATATATTTCAGCTATTTCGTATAACTTATCCTGAACTCATTGCCTCGGTCAGAGGGGCTTTCATAAAGTAAAATGCTTTGTATAGACTGTGGCTAGAAGACTTGAGATTTTTGACAATATTTACTCTATCCTTGTTTATTTTTTGACATGTTCACTGGCCCAAATTATAACAATGGTATGAGTTTCTTTCTGGCATAGGACTGATATGAAGTTTGAATTTTGTTTTCTCTGATTCAGTTGTCTTTCAGGAGGTACTATGACCAATACATTGTGATGATACTGTAGCTGTAAGAGGTATATTTTGTCCTGGGTTTTTCTTTTGAAAAAAGGTTGAGGCAGAGATGCCGAGTGTTCAAAGCCAATGATGTAAACAGCTTGTGAGACCTTGGTTTTTTTTTAAAGTTGGAACAATAAAAGCAGCCTGAATGGGTGGGGTCAAGTCTCATAGAACCAGGACTTTTAGTTTAGCTTTCAATACCAGTTACTGGGACCTTGAAACTGGATGTGGAAGCTTTTATTCCTTTCTCTGTTACAGCTAAAAGCTGGGGTTTCCTTCCTGCTGCTAGAATTGCACGTGAAACAATCTGTTTTACTGAATTTGCTTTTGCCAAGGGTGTGTTTATGAGATGTTACTATATTAGTACAGTTATTGTTTCGTAGTTAATTAATCTATCATTCTGTTAAGTTTTCCAAACAGTTATGTTATTCCAATCCTTCTTACTTTTGTTTGTATTTTAATTATAGTGCATGAATAAAATGTGTTTTGCTTCAAGCCTGGTAGTTTGACCAATCGAATTGTATCCAGAATGCAATGCCTGGCACTTGCCTTAAAAATAAGAAAAAGTTAGGGTCTAGGTTATTTCCTTGATATGTTTTGAGGGGGGCTTCATCTACCCATAACAACATCTTCACTTAATTTTGAGGCATCCTGTGCTTTGAAATTGTAGCTACACTTACAGCAACTTAAAATGGAAAAACAAAGAAATGAAACAGTGGAAGAAACTTAGGGTGGAAATGTTCTATTGGGAATTAGGTGATGGAATTATTTCTGTTGCCTGAAGGACCCCCCTCCAACCCTGGGAGGAGCTGGCCACCCATTGAGCTTTTGATCAGGGTACCCCTCCAATTGGCATAGAGTCAGGTTCCTTCTACTAAGAAAGATGGCAAGTGAGCTTTAGAAAGCCAATCAGAGGGCATCCAACTTCAGAGGGGCAGCGGCCTGCAGTAAAGGGGAAGTAACAAAGGGTGCTTCAACATAAAGGAGCCACCATACCAACTCTTTATTAAAATGTGATTTATAAACAGGAATAAAGAGCCATGTCACCCAAAGATATAGTGTGGAAAATGTAGAGAGTAGCTGGGAGCTCCCCTAAAGGTCATCTGTTGGCTGCACCTGAACATATTTGAACTGCCCTCACAGCAGCCTCCCTCTCAATGCCCGCCATTGCATTTGTAAACTAGAAACAAACTGGGGAACCTCCTTTAACTGACTTCCCACTTTGCGGTGTTGCATAGCCCACACTTGGCTTGATCAAGATGGCTGGCAACTGAAAGGTACACTGGTCAGCGCTGATGGTATTTTCAGGCCCCTGTTTCCAACCTTGGCGGTGGCCACAAATTCTGCCTTCAAAGTCCAATATTAACTCTTCCTCATCCAGTGGAAATCAGGTAAATAAATGAGGATGAACCTAATGAGAGAGCATTTACACCATGTTTCTGCCCACACTTCAATTTTGTTCAGGCACAAAAAAAGCCTCCTATTTCGATTTCAATGGCTTTCTTATAAGGCAGAATTGTCACTTTAACTCCAGGCCTGACTGTGGCGCAAACTGAATAGAACACTTCTGCAAAACCTGACACAGCAAGATTGCAAATGAAGGTTTCTTCTGTTAAATAGCACCAGGAGTGTTTCTCCATTCCATGATGGTCTTACATGTTCTCTACCACCTACCCTCCAGCCCATCTCCAGACTGCTGGCTTGTTCTCTGCCCTGATTCACTAATTCCCTCACTAGGGACCATTTTGATAAGTTACTGAGGAAACTGGGCCTGGTGCCCCCACCATCTGACCCATCACCTGACTAATTAAAAACCAGAAAGACTGTGGATGCTGTAAATCAGGAACAAAACCAAAGCTACTGGAAAAGCTCAGCAGGTCTGGCAGCATCTGTGGAGGAGAAAACAGAGTTAACGTTTTGGGTCTGGTGACCCTTCCTCAGAACTGATCGTGGCTGGGAAGACATCAGTTTATATGCAGAAAATAGGGAGGTGGGTGGGGTAGGGAGTAAATGATAGGATAGAGCCTAAAGAGAGAGAAAGACAGTTGGACAGACAAAGGAGTTGCTAACGATCAGGCTGGGAAGGTGAATAGTTGTTAATGGGGACTGTTAGTGACTAACAACAGGGGGTGTGTAGTGGCAGGCTATGTGGTAACAAGGCCTGGTGTGTGGGGTGGGGGGCTGGGACATGGGAGAGTTTAGGCCCTAAAATTATTGAACTCAATATTGAGTCCGGAGGACTGTAAGGTCCCCAAGCGGAAAATGAGGTGTTGTTCCTCCAGCTTGCGCTGGGCTTCGCTGGAACACTGCAGCAAGCCGGAGACATAGATGTTGGCCAGGGAGCAGGGTGGTGCATTGAAGTGGCAGGCAACAGATAGTTCAGGGTCTTTTTTGCAAGCAGAATGTAGATGTTCTGCGAAGCGGTTGCCAAGTCTACACTTCGTTTCCCCAATGTAGAGGAGACCACATTGTGAGCAGCGAATGCAGTAGGCTAGATTCTTGGAAGTGCAGGTGAAGTGTTGCTTCACCTGGAAGTTATGTTTGGGCCCTTGGATACTGGGGAGGGAGGAGGTAAATGCGCAGGTGTTGCACCTTCGCCGGTTACAGGGGAAGGTGCCGTAGAGCTGTGGGGAGGTGTTGGGGGTGAAGGAAGTAGGGACCAGGGTGTCCCGGAGGCAGACTAGGGAGGGGAGGGGAATATGTGTCTGGTGGTGGCAGCTTGCTGGAGGTGGCGGAAATGGCGTCTGATGATCTTCTGGATGTGGATGCTGGTGGGATGGTATGTGAGGATAAGGGAAACCCTATCGCTGTTGCAGGAGGGAAGAGAATGGGTGAGGGCAGAAGTGCAGGAGATGGGTCGGACCCGATTGAGGGCCCTGTCGACAACGGAGCTGGGGAATCCTCGTTTGAGGAAGAAGGTGGACATTTCGGAGGCTCCCTTGTCGAAGTTGGCCTCATCTGAACATATGCGATGGAGACAGAGGAACTGAGAGAATGGGATAGAGTCTTTACAGGAAGTGGGGTGTGAGGATGTATAGTCCAGGTAGCTGTGGGAGTCAGTGAGTTTGGTAATGGATATTAGTGGCCAGTCTATCCCCAGAAATGGAAACAGAAATGTCGAGGAAGGGAAGGGAGGAGTCAGAGATAGACCAGGTGAAAGTGAGGGCAGGGTGGAAATTGGAGGCGAAATTGATGAAGATTTCCAATTCTCGACGAGAGAGGGGAGCAGCACCGATGATATCATTGATGTATTGGAGAAAGAGTTGTGGGTGGGGGCCAGAATAGGACTGGAACAAGGAATGTTCCACGTACCCCACGAAGAGACAGGCATAACTAGGGCCCATGCGGGTACCCATGGCAACCCCTCTTACCTGAAGAAAATGAGAGGAGTTGAAAGAGAAGTTGTTGAAGGTGAGGACAAGCTCAGCCAAACGAGGAGGTTGGTGGTGGGTGGGGATGGTTCAGGTCTTTGCTCAAGGAAGAAGCCGAGAGCCCTAAGACCCTCCTGGTGGGGAATGGATGCGTAAAGGGATTGCACATGCATGGTAAAGAGGAGGTGGCTAGAGCCAGTAAACTGGAAGCTTTGAAACCAGCGTAAGGCGTCAGATGAATCATGGATGTATGTGATTAATTACGTGACCAGTGCTGACTCGCCTCTACCCATGTGATTCACACAAGTTTTCAGAAGTTCAAATGCCTCATAGTCCATGATTTGCCATCACTGCTCCAGTTCCATGCCTACTCTTCCTTCCAGTTGAAATCAATCGGTTCCCATAAATGACTTGATAAAGCAGTTGTAATTAAAGCCTTATAGTTTACTGAGGATTCGGGTCCTGTTCCGGATTTCAAGAGCATAGAAAAACATTTCCTTTACCATGATAAGCTTGGATGGATGGAATTTATCAGAAGAAAATTTACCGTTATGTTGCTCATTGTTGATATTATGAATCAACCGTGTTTCATTGCATAAATGTGGACTTTGCTATCAGGCCAACCTACTGCTAAGTGCATTTATATAATTAATCATTTCTCTTTACAGACACAGTACGGTGGGGAGATTTCCATTGGCACACCACCTCAGAATTTCACTGTTGTATTCGATACTGGTTCATCCAATTTATGGGTGCCTTCTGTTTATTGCTACAGCAGAGCTTGCAGTAAGTAAGACCAGTGAGAGATTGCATTGTCACCAGGTTAATCCCCAAAATTCTTGCTCTGATTGGTGCTCCCCTTAGAATCCAGGTTATCATCACAATTTGCATTGTTTTCTGTTTTTAGACATGTATGAGAGGATATATCAGGTGTTGTCAATTTTGGAGGTGAAGTTTTTTAAGGATTGGACAACAACATCCCAAGAACCTTGAACACAATGACAGCATGGATCTTTCATTGTGTCTAAAACATCAATGTTTGGTTATGTCTGGTTTTGCTGGGGTCTGGTAATTCCCATATTGCAGGTGAGGACCCAAACCAGTGGTTGGCAAAACCTGGCATGCATGAGTGATGAATGGTGGTAGTGGTGGGAAAATGCAACGTGCTCACCTGCCTGGGAGCAGAGGCAGGAGGTCCAGCTTTGTGTCAAGTGTCAATCAGCCCATTTCTACAAAGGCAATTTCACAATGGCCATGTCAGGTAATTGTCAGGATTCAAAGGCAAGAATGTGCCTAAAGCACTCCTATGTATGTTTCTTTCTCTATTGAAATTACAATATGCCTGAGTTTTTCAGGCATCAGAGGATGGATGGAATGAAGGACTAATGGATATAGCAGGTAAATGATGGCAAACTGTCAGTCTCACTTCCATCTGGAACATAAAGTCCCACCTAAGATTGGAACATTCATCTAGTTTCAGTAATGGTGACCATGACAACTATCAATGATTGTTGCAAAAGGTCATCTTATTGACTAAAATCATTTAGGGAAGGAAATCTGCAGACCTAACCTGGTCCAGTCTACATGTTACTCCAGACCCACAGTAATGTGATTGACTCTTAACTGCCCACAGTTCATGCATAATTAGAGATAGGCAACTAATTCTGGATTTGGCAGAGATGTTCACACCTCATGAGAGGATAAAGGAAACAAAATTTCTAGCAATGGACAGCAAGAAGATGGCTCCAACTACAGTCTGTGCCACTCCTGCCCCTTCACTGACTGCTGTAATGTGTTTGAGAGTTGTCAAGGATTCATCACTGGAAACTATATCCAGTTTTGTGTCATTGGTTAACTTAGACTCGCGAGGCAATATTACATTGTCCAAATTGAAATATCTCCACAGCGGCCTGTATCCTGTCACCAAGTCACCCTTTATTTACACGTGGAGATTCATTGGCACTGATCCAGCTCTCTGAGAGACAGCTGCCAGAGTGAACAGGGTGTCTGACATTCCTGCTCTTATTTGTCAGCCAGGGCTCCCTGATTGGACCAGATTAACAGCCCTAATCAGGGAACTCATATTCTATGAGGTCCACCTGACTGAACGTATTACAATCACTACACAAATTATTTATAAAAGATCAGAAACAACACCATGTCACTGACCTCCGCTGGAAGCCAGTTTCCAGTCTGACAACTCCCCAATCACCCCCACTCTACATTATCTATCCTTCAACCTTGTACTTACCCCAACATGTACTATCATCCAGTGGGCAGGCACTCTGTGAATTTGGTTGTGTGTGAATCAAATAGGTAACATTCACTGTTAGATTCCTATTCTCCTGATCTAGAACCTCCTTTCAAATATCCAGTAAACTGACCACATCTAAGCTATCATATTGCCCTCTCTATTCAGACTCTGCTATTCCAAAATGTTGCATGCTCATTCATTTGAAAAGGAATGAGAATGATTTTGTAATGAGAATTAGCCTCGATATGCTGTACCAACAAGGATGTCATCTTCTCTTTGGAGAAGGAGAATTAACTTTCTTATACATAGAATATTTCTGGGAAAAGAGATGTGCCCGTTTATGCTCTTTAATTTACACTCTTCAAAACAAAATTGCAGGAATGCCAAATCTCAAAGTGAACAGCAATTTCTACAAGGTATTGTTATTGCCTTTGGAATTTAATAACAGCCATTCTGTCCTAATGAGGACAAGACAAATGGTCCAATGAAATGTCTCTTTGCAAAGTCTATACGTTGAAATATTAAACCAGGTTGGTTTTGTTTACTATAATTCTGTCTCAGTGCAAAGGACATTTTTTTTACTTTTACAGAAGAGCATGACAAGTTCATCCCAGATAAATCATCAACTTATACAAGGGATGGCCGCCCTTTCTCTATCCATTATGGTACAGGCAGTCTGACAGGAATAATTGGAATAGATACCGTCACAGTAAGTAATTTTTGTATCCTAAACAGGAATCTGAAATGTCAAGAGTGGTGCCGTGCCTGTGCAATGAGGAACATTCCATTAAACAGGACAAGTTAATCCAAACAAGGCTTGTATCACCCAATAGGTGGAAGGGTGGATTGCTTGTGGGTACTTAATGTTATTGACTTGAATTGCTCAGTGCGTTGCTCTTGCCATAGATGATGATCTGCTGAGCACTTCTACTATTCCCAGTTTTATTTCTATTACATTTGGTTTCAGGCTGGTGGCAGCTTAAACATACTCCTTTTTACCTGTATTTTTTTCACGTTCTTTAGAGATTTCAGTACAAAATATTGGCTGATTCTCCAGGGCAATGCTGATGAATTGCTGCACTGTCAGAAATGCTGTCTTTTAGAACAGACCTGAAGCCAAAGCCTTGACTTCCTCTCAGGCATTTGTAAAATGTCCCATGGGACAATTGAGAAGAGCAGAAAAATTATCATCAGTGTTCCAGTCGTTGTTTATTCCTCAACTTACATCAATAAAACAGGTTATTTAGTCATTGTATCATCACCTTGTAGGACTTGCTGTTCAGAATTTGCTTCAATGTGTTTCCTACATTACAACAGGAGCTACACTTCAGAAGTACTTCAATACTTTGAGATGTCTTGAGGTCAGGAATAATGTCACAAAAATTCAGATCTTTCTTTTTGTGCTTAGGTTGAAGGCATCACTGTTGTGAACCAGAAATTTGGCGAGAGTGTGACAGAGCCTGGCACGACATTTTTGTATTCCCCGTTTGATGGGATTCTTGGATTAGCTTACCCATCTATTGCAACAGCAGATGCCACGCCTGTATTTGACAACATGATGGCACAAGGCTTAGTAAACTTGCCCCTCTTTTCTGTGTATCTTAGTAGGTGAGTCTTTCTTTTATGGTCCATATACGAAGTAGATTAAATATTTGAGGTTTGAATCTTTTAAGATAACGATTCCTTTTTACACAATATATGCAATACAATGTTCAAGATTGGAATTTTACCCATGTATTCAAATTCTACGGCACAGTGTTCGGTCAATATGATTCAGAACAATCAAGCACTTAATTGATGCAAATCCTGATTTCTTTAACCAATCTGAATCCATTATCATGTATTTCTGTTTTAAACACCAAGATTCACTTCTGTTTATGCAAAAATTATGTCACATTACTGAGGTATTTTGTGAAAGGGATGACTGTACTGAAATATAAATATAATTTACTTCATTAGTTGGAACATATTTTGGGATTTCATGTATCTACAAGAGACACTGTATAAATTGCCCCCATGACCACCATCCCTCCACACCCTAAACTTCTCCCTGAAGATCCAGTTCAAATATACATCTCTATGGATCAAGAAACTTCTGGGTTCGTTTCCTAGACTGAATTGTGTGAATAGTTGTTTAGAAAATGATTTCAAATGCTCCTGGTCTAGGGAACAAAACAAAACTCAACTAGAAAATCTGCTTCTGTCTGCTTTCAGGTAAAGGTATCAGTAATAGTAAAGATTAGAGAATGAGTGGATGAGGGATTTAAATATGTGCTCCTTAATTACTTTCTGTTTGATTGTATCTTTCTGCTAACTGAGCTTTGCTCACTGTGCTTGATTGATTAAGCCTAGGTGTGGACTCAGTGTAAAGTAAACAGTCACCAGAAGCTATTACAATTTGAGCTGCAAGCAACGATTTTTGCTTGTAGAGATATTTTAAAATCTTGTAAATGTATTGGCTTCACACTGAGGAGCAGATATCAACTTTGCATTAATCTGAGGTATATGAAATATGCGAGAGAGTTTTAAGAACATAGGAAATAGGAGTATGGTGTGCCTGAGTGCTAGTGAGCAGGTATTACTGAGCATTTGCAGCTTAATGGCAGTTCTGATGACACTTTCCATCAGTTTGCTGGTGTTTGAGTGTGGGGCGGTAATTGGCTGGGTTGAATTTCCTTCCTTTTTGTACGCAAGGTATACCTGAACAATGATCTCTTTGTCGGGTAGATGCCAATGTTGTAAGTGTTCTGGAACAGCCTGACTAGGGGCATGGCAAGTTCTGGAGCATAGGTCTTCAGTACTGTGACCGGAATGTTGTGAAGATTTGTAGTCTTTGCAGTTTCCAGTGCCTCTAAGAGACCACGAGATGAAGTCGAGATAGACCATCCATTAACATACATGTCGTAGGACTGTATCACGGATCACTTGCATTGTCTTGTACATACGAGAGCACAGCAATTGAAATTGTGTACCCTCAGAGAGTGGACAATTAGAATTCAGGCTGTGTGATAATGTTCAGATACCTGAAAGAGAAACATCATTGTTTTCTTCCTGATTGCCATATCCCTCTCAAGATGAATAACATCATTCATTCGTTCTCTAAGTTTGTGGGTGCTGATTAGTGCTGGATCAAATTTGAGCAGATCTTGTAGTAAGGTACTAGAACCTTGCCACAGAGTGTGTCGAGAGTTGAAGTTCAATCAAAGTGACCCAATGCTGCAAGGCTGCCATTACAGTGTCAAATCTTATGTCCTCAGAATTTCCTCGCTATGAACCAGGTTTTGGGGACCTCTGCCCGATTGCCCAAAAGAATGATTTGAACAAATTTTCTGAATAACATATAATCAAAATTTCACATTCAAGTTTTCAAATTTATCCATTAGTTAATCTTATGATGGTATGTTAAAGTTTCTATCTGCCACTTCCAGAACCTGGTCTTCAGCTAGGTATTTTTAACCTTGCAGTTTTAATTACATCTGTATCACAGAATCATGGAATCACAGAACCCCTACAGTGTGGAAGGGGGCCATTCAGCCCATCGAGTCTAAACCGACCGTCTAAAGAGTAACCCTCCCAGACCCACGCCCCTACAGTGTCCCTATAACCTTGCATTTCCCATGGCTAATCCTCCTAAGCTGCACATCCCTGGATACCACAGGCAGTTTAGCATGGCCATCCACTTAACCTGCACATATTTGGACTGTGGGAGGAAACCGGAGCACCTGGAGGAAACCCACACAGACACGGGGAGAATATGCAAACTCCGCACGGACAGTCACCTGAGGCTGGAATCGAACCCAATCCCTGGCACTGTCATTTGTGAGTCTACAGTTTGCCACATTTCTCAGTGTTCAATCATTGTACAATAAGAATTGAAGAGCAGAAGGGGCATTTCCCCTCAAACTATGAGCATTACCAGAGTTTCTTTGCATTTATGTGTTGCCAATGTCAGGGTGGGAGGAAAGATATCCACATGTGTACATGAGCGGTTGACGCTGGTGATGTCACACTGCCATGACATGATGCATTTGCACGTGTTCAATGATGGCTCCGGCAACCAAGGAACCCTCTCCTCCTTCCCTCTGCTCACAGCTCCAGAGTCTGCTTCTCCCACTTCCTGCTCTACACTCCCACTACAGGCTCCACTACCCTGCTCTGCACACTGGGATCGTCAACTAAAGGCACTGAGATGGAAGTCTTCAAGTCTAGGAATATCAAGTTGCCTAGAGATCAGCAAAGACTGCATACTGCTCAGCTCCCTGTCATTCCCAGCTCAGCAGGACATATGTACATCATAGGGGCTGTTACTGCATTGCCTGCAAGCGTTTCCTCTACAGATGCAGTGTCCATGAACACAACATTTTCTAAAAGATTTGGAAAGAATGTAAGATTGAATTCCGTGGTCAGCAAGGTTCCTTCACTAAACTGCCAGGTCTCAGCAATTCAGAACACTCATAAACCACTTCCTGTTTCCTCTGGTTTTAAAGATTTCATTCCTCGGGCCTATCCCACCACCACCAAGCCTGCTGTTCTGTCACCGCCATCAGAATGTTGGCAAATCTTTGGATAGGTGTCACAGTCTTTGCTGATCTCTAGCCAACTTGATGATTCCTGGATTTGAAGACTCTCACCCCAATGCCTTTAGCTCAGGATCCCAGATCCCATAACTCCTCTCAAGGCTCCTGCAATCTTCTTCTCAAATCAACCTAGAGATTTTGCCCAGTGGAAGCTAAGCATCACATCAAGTTGTCCAAACTCACTCAATTTCCTTAACAAGAGTAGAGAAGGAAGGGACAATTCCTAACTGGATACAAATTACGTGGTTATTACTAACGCTGAATGGAAGAAATGTTGAGCTATACTTCTTTAAACAAACACTGATTTCTATTACAATCTGCTGTCACTTCTGCTGTATTTTATTGATTATTTTTCATCATTCTTGACCAAACTTTAAAGCTTTCTCTTTTTGTTTTATTTCCCAGAAATCCAAATGATGGGGCTGGGAGTGAAATTATTTTTGGTGGATTTGATACTTCACACTTCATTGGTGAACTCCACTGGATTCCTGTGACCAACAAAGGATACTGGCAAATTCAGTTAGATGGGTAAATGCATGCGTGAGATAAACTGCGTTTGTTCTTATTCCATATCATAGGTGGTGCTCCAGGGCATGTAGTTTTTCACCGAACCACATGCTGGCATTCAAAACCTGCTTCCCATAGAGGAACCCTTCAATTAACATGATCTCTGGCTCTGAATTAGGTTTTATAGCAGTAACTTCAGGATGATATGTGATCGGAAAATCTGAGTAAAGGAGGGAGGCATTTGGTCACAAGGATGGGGAGGGTAATAGTGTGGTCACAGAATAATTTTCGGATTAAGCAAGAGATTCCTCAGAACAAAATAAAGAGTCGGAACTGCTTATTTTCTTACATTCGTGAGGAGTCAGTCCCATACTCTAGGGGTATTCAGTATCAGATTGTTCCAAGATTGGTTAAGGTTAATGGAAAATAGAAACTCCCGGCTATAATTTGAGGTGAATAACATCAATGTATTCAAGGGAAAGTTAGATAAATACATGAGAGGGAAAGGAATAGAGGGATACGTGAACAAGGAGAGATGATGTTATTGTGTAACACCTGCATAGACTTTTAGGGCCAACTAATTTTCTGTTATATGCCATTGTCTGTTTAATTCTGCAGAATCTGTGACTTAAGTCTAAGAATATAGTAACCACAAATTAATTGTACAATTTTAATCTTAAGATCCAGTGTCCTGTCTGATGAAGGCAAGAAAATTTTTGCATCTGAATGCCCACAGCATTAATAATAAAACAAATTAATTGTCAGCGCATATAGAATGCCACATGTACAATCTGATAACCATTAGAGAGCTATGGCTACAATGAAACCAAATCTGGGACCTTGATATCTAAGGGTATGTGACATTCAGGAAGAATATACAGGTGGGAAAAGATTGGGTGGTAACTCTGTAAATTAAAGTGTGCATTCATATTGGAGTGAGAGATTATCTTTGTCCTAATGTTAAAGACAACAGAATCAGTTTAAGTGGAATTAGGAAGCATCAAGAGGCAAAAAAACATTGGCGCAAGCTATTCATCAGCCCCTAAACAGCAGAGGTAACCAACTCACAGTATAACTCTGGAATTTAGGTGTGTATAATTACAGTAATATCGTAATCATGGAGGTTTTTAATCTACATGGAAATTGGGAAACCTAAGTAAGTCTTATAGAGAATGAATCCTTGAAATGTGCGTTAGAAGGTTTTTTAGAGCCATACCTTGTAGAACCAACCAGGAAACGGGCTTTTTTAGATCTAGTATTGTGCAACGACAAAGGGCATATTAATAATATTGTTGTAGAGAAACCTTCAGGGAAGAGTGACTATAATGTAAAAGAATGTTCCATTTAAGCTCGAAAGTGATGCAGTTTAATCAGAAACAAGGCTCTTAAATCTTAACAAAAGAAACTATGAAGGTATAGAATCTGAGTGGGTAGAGTTGAGGAACCACAAAGGAGAAAGGTCCTGGTGAGAGTTGTGCACAGACCTCTTAGCAATAGTCAGGATGTGGGGAAGAAAATAAAATTAGGAGATAGAAACGGCATGTAAGAAAAGCCACTGTTAGAATAATCATGGGGAACTTCAATATGTGGAGGACTGTGAAAATCAGGTTGGTAGCTGATCTCAAGAAAAGGAATTTGTGGAATGTCTAGAAGATTTTCTTTTGGAGCAGTTTGTGGTAGGGCCTGCTAGGGAACGGACAATTCTGGGTTTGATGATGTGTAATGAGGCAGAATTGATTAGGGAGCTCAAGGTGATGTAACTTCTAGGAGACAGTGATTGAGATATGATAAAATCACACTGCAGTTTGAGAGGAAGAAGCTGAAATTGGATGTTATGGTATTACAATTGAGTAAAGGTAACTCCAAAGACATGAGGGTGGAGCTGGCCAGAGTTGATAGGATGTGGATCCTAGCTTGGAAGACAGTGGAGCATCGATGGCAGAGTTTCATCGGGCAATTCAGAAGACACAGCAGAAATTCATCCCAAGGAAGAAGAAACATACTAAAGGAAGGATGAGGAAACCATGGCTGCCAAGGGGAGTCAGGGACAATATAAAAACAAAAGAAAAAGCATACAAATGGTGAAGACTAGTGAGAAGCCAGAGGATTGGGAAGCCTTTAAAAACCAGCAGAGGATAACTGAAAACACAATAAGGGGGGAGAAGATGAAATATGAGAGTAAACTAGCTAGTAATAAAGAAGAAGACTGCAAGAGTTTTCTTTTAGACATCTAAAAGTTAAGAGAGAGACAAGACTGAGCATCGGGCTGCTGGAAAATAAGGTTGGAGCAGGAGTAATGGGGAACAAAGAAATGGTGGAGGAACTGAACAGATACTCTGCATCAGTTTTCACAGCAGCATACCAGAACTTCAAAAGAGTCAGGGGGCAGAGGTTTGCGCAGTGGTCTTCACTAAGGAGAAGGTGCTAGGGAATTTGAAAGGTCTGAAGTTTGAAAATCAACTGGACCAGATGGACTACATCACAGAGTTTTGAAGGCGATAGCTGAGGAGATTGTAGAGGCATTGGTGGTGACCTTTCAGGAATCACTGGAGTCAGGAAGGGTCCCAGAGGACTAGAAAATGGCTAATGCAACATTCCTGCTTGAAAAAGTAGGAAGGAAGAAGACAGGAATCTATAGGCCAGTTAGCCTGTTCTCAGGCATTGGTAAGATTTTACAGTCCATTATTAAGGATGAGATTGTTGAGTACTTGAAAGTACATTGTAAAATAGGATGGAGTCAGCATGGCTTTGTCAAGGGGAGGACAAATCTGTTTGAATTCTTTGAGGAGTTAACAAGCAAGTTAGATAAAGAACAGACAGTGGACATGATCTATTTGGATCTCCATAAGGCCTTTGATAAAATGCTGCTATGGAAGCTGCTAAATAAGATGAGTCCATGGTGTTAGGGGCAAGGTACTGGCATGGATAGAGGATTTGTGACTGGCAGAAGGCAGAGAGTGGGGATAAAGGGGTGTCTTTCAGGATGGCAACTGGTGATTAGTGGAGTTCTGTAGGGGTCAGTGTTGAGACTACAGCTATTCGCATTATACATTAGTGATCTGTACAAAGGAACTGAAGGTATTGTTGCTAAATTTGCAGATGACACAAAGATAGATGGAGGGACAGGTAAGTGTTGAGAAAGTGGGGAGGCTGCAGCAGGACTCAGACAGGCTAGGAGAATGGGCAAAGAAGTGGCAGATGCAATACAATGTTGGAAAGTGTGAGATTATATTCTTTGGTAGGAAGAATAGACGTGTAGATTATTTTCTAAAAGGGGAAAGGCTTTGGAAACCTGAAGCACAAAAGGGCTTGGGAAACCTAGTTCAGGAGACTGTCTTAAGGCTAAATTGTATGTTCAGTTAGCAGTTAGGAAGGCAATGCAATGTTAGCATTCCTTTTAAAAGGGCTATAATACAAGAGCAGAGATGTACTGCTGAGGCTGTATAAGGTTCTGGTCAGACCTCACTTGGAATATTGTGAGTAGTGTGGGGACGCATTTCTAAGGAATGATGGGCCGGCATTTGAGGGGATCCAGAGGAAGTTTACAAGAAAGATCTAGGGGAAGAAAGGCTTGTCTTCTGAGGAGCGGTTGAGGACTCTGGATCTGTACTCGATGGAGTTTAGAAGGACAAGGGGGAATCTTATTGAAACTTGGAGAATACTGACAGGCCTGGATAAAGTGGACACGGAGAAGATATTTCCACTAGTAGGAGAGTCTCAGACCAGAGGGCACAGCCTCAGGATGAAAGGATGACCCTTTAGACCTGAGAGGAAGAGAAATTTCTTTAGGCAGAGGGTGGTGAATCTGTGGAACCGATTGCCGCAGAGAGTCATGCAAGCTGATTGGCCTAATTTTGCTCCTATACCTTATGGTCTTATGGGCTATTTCCAAAAGAGTAAAACAACATCCAGCTTATCAACCTCATGCTTCTAGAGCTCATGTATGTCAGTTCCATCACAGACTAAACATTAGCCTCTTCCTAGGGTCATTTATCTAAGAGTGTTTTAAAAACTACTGGCTCGAGTAAAGAACAAACAAACATACCAGTGATCTACATTTTCTGATGTTTGAAATATTAAAAGCTGCAGACACCCACATAGCAATTTTTTTTTAATGACTATTGAAAGATGTGGATGATGAATCCGGCCAAAAGCAATCCTATTCTAGTCACTCAGGACAGACATCTTAGAGAATAGACAAAGTTGTTAAATGAGCTATTGCATGCGTTTATAGTTAAATGATTAGCTGGGCTATAATTGCTGCTAAGTGGTACTTTAAACAATTTTGCTTTGACAGCAAACAGGGGAAAATTAGAT